AGTGTTCACTGTTCAATAGCTAAAATCATAACGTGAAATAGTCTAAGAAAACCCTTATATGCTGAAGTTTGGTTGGGTGCAATTGCAGCTGTCGGTATCATGTTACTTTATAGCACCTGTCCTGGGTGTCAGCTATTAACAGATGAACACTAATCAGAATATTCTGATGAAGTTAGCACATAACCCTGATGTAAAAGGAAAGCCTATGTAAAGGAAAACCAAACATTCAGAGAAGTCAGGTGGCTGTCTGAAGTTAGTAGCAGAACCAGGAATATACTCCTTATTCCAGAGTGTAGTACATATACCTGATCCCAGATTTCCTATTTCATCTACCAGACACGTTCATTGTAAGTCAAAAATCTTCACTAGTGTGTTAGAATGACGCAATGAGAAAGGACTGAGCTAAAAAATCTCCTTCTCCACAGATGCTTTGTTACCTAATAAAAAGTTCAGATCACCATAACAATTATTTTCCAAAGCAATAGGGCTAAATTTTAGTAAGTTTTCAACGCCACTGTTCATGACTGAAATAATCACGTCTATTCCTTTCCTTTCCTTAGCCCACAGGCTGACCTTAAGCAAGAATTTTGCTTTACCGATGCTTGAAATTCAGACCCAATAAATCAGCAGTTATTATAGCGTCTCTGGAGCTGGGTGTTTGGGGACTTTTTTATTTTCAAAGAAAAAAACAGTGGGAGCCAACAGAGGCATAATCAGAGACTGGCAAGTTATAAAGATGAAAACTGTGATGGGAAGATCTCATAAAAACTAGTTGTCATTCAGTTGCACCAACTGAAATCTGGAGTAAGACCACTTAAAGGAGTTTGGTGTGGAGCACTAAGAACTTAAAGCATGGGCACTGTACTGAGATGATGCAAAAGCCCACAGCAAGTTTCATGAGGTACCAATCATTTTAGCAACACTCAGAAACAATTAAAAATACACACTGTTTTCCTCTACTTTTGATATGGTGACATTTACACAAAAGGGAAATAAAATGAGCAAGTTATTTTTATGTGCCTATCAATTTTAAACTTGAGCTTTCTAGTACAGTTTAATACTTTAACTACAGAAAGAATGACAACCTGTTTTCTTCTGCCTTCCTCTAGCCTCCCCCAAATTCATACCCAACCAAAAAAAAACCCAAATCAATTTAGTTCAGCCTCTTGATGTGTGTATCAAAGCTACTACATATAAATCTCAACTAAGGAGCCAGAGCTGTCAGAAGACTATATGTATCAGAGCTTTAGACTAGTTGTGTCCAAATAGCAAAATAAACCTACCGCAAGTGACAATCCAGAACAGTCATGAGACACAACATAGACAAGGAGGACATAGAAGGAAGAAATAAAAATTAAAACATCCACACACAAACATTAGCAAAAACCATGGAGAAATGACCTTTTTACAGTAATTCATTAATTAACAATTTGACTCCCCTAGAAGGAATCTAATCCTCCCAGTGGCCCTTGGGAGTTGTATACTCTACCTGAAAAAGTAAGCATTGCCTACAATAGAAATGGGTTTCAAGACTGAAAACATAATCTTATTTTCAGCTCATCTCCCACTTTGCCTCAACTGCATTTGCTCATCATCTGTATTATTTCATAAACAGTTTCTCATTTGAAGTTGTATTCATGAAAGTGGACATGTTCAAACACAAATATTCTAATGGAGAACAAAATTTTATTCCACTTTCTGTAAAATCCAGTTATCATATATGACTGTTGAACCGAGTCTCTCTGTCAAAAGGATCTTTAACTGTATGAAGTTATATGGGTCTATAATGATTTGGCATGGATGTCCATGTCAGCATTAACACATGTAGGTCAGAAGTTCTCTTTAACAAACGAAACCAGACTAAGATGGAAATTATATTTCCAGAACCTGGTCCTTTCAATTTACCAAATGGTATTCCTTTCCAAGTTTTGTGTGCCTTGCAAGATGCCTAGTGCCTATCACCTATTATACACTCTCAGAGGAAGGTAGAAGATAATTAGCACTTGCAGGTTCAGGCCTAACAATGACTGAACTAACTGTTTTTGGGTTTTGATAATATTTTAGATCTTTGTTACGTTATGTTGCCCTTTATAATGGCATCAGATAGACATTTTGATCTTCCATTACATTTTTTTTTATAACTAAAATTTACCCCTTTAAAGAGCAAAAGGTATTCTTGTTATTCCCCTTTCTATTTTATGCCAGAACCTCTAAAGTGGTTCAATTCACTTAAGTGAAATATTCTACATTTATCATTGCATTGAGTTCAGCGAGGTATATTAAAATTTGCACTGATAATTCAACTGTTAGAATAAGCAGTCATACAGGAAAAAAAAAAAGGTAGAATTTCACAAATTAGTAATGGAGTTGGTAAAAGTTACTGAACACCAAGGACTTTAAATCTGTAGGCTATCAGACTCCTATGTATGAATTTAAGGGGCCAATCTAAGTAGCCTGGTTTTGAAATCCCAGACAGTGAAGAGGAAGCTTGGAGGTAGAGTTGGTGATCCACTTATTAAAGGTCTGACATTTACGTCAACTGAGAATCTACCCTCCTTAGTTTAACTGTGTAAAACAAAACATATTAGCTAAATCCAAACTATCTGGGCAAAAGTATGTTTAAAAACCTATACAGAATATTTTGAATGGAATTATTTTAAAATATCTATGTGTGCAATATTTCGAAGATGGAGCTTCTTGTAGGCAAGAGACACATGATTCATATTTTTATCAAATTTTCCCATGAAAAAGGTAGAAATTAAACTCAATATTAATTACATAATGTAATTCTGCATTTTAAATACTTATTTTCCAAGAATATTTCCCACGGTCATTTATCCATGTCCTAATGAATATAATTAAAAACACTTAATAATATATTGTAAATACAACAACAGCCTTCATGATATGGAACAAATTCCACATAAATATCAATCATTACATTGCACATTATTTGCTCTATATCAAAGTATTAGGTTTGTTATCATCGGTAGGACATAAAAAAACATCTCTTCATAATCTTTCCATGAACATAATCAAACAGTTCTTCCAAATTATTCTTGGTTCAGTGGGAGGAGTTGGCTAAGAGTAGCCCAGGGTAACCTAACAAACGATGATCTGATTTTCCATGCATTGCTGAAGGGGAAATAGCTGTAAGCATGCCACGTGTACTTATGGTCTGAGAAACAAAACCGACGGTGTCAGATCAATCCTCACGCTTTCCTTCATCACTCACATGACAGTATGTACAGTGGTCTCTATAAAATACTGATATATACCTTAAAAGTAATGAATTTTGCCAAAGTTTACCTTATTGGTGTAGTGTATAGACTAGAAAAGTTAACGATTGTCTAATGAATTGACATTTTAGTAGTGGCTACTGCAATTCAATAGCATGAACAGGAACAAAACAACTCCATCTTCAGTTATTTTCTTTCCACACTCTCTACTGAGCAAGAACAACAAAACCTTGCCTCTTATCTGATAATGGAAACTGGAAATAGCTCTCATGGCTCTGTACCTGTGAAGCCTATCCATTAATTTCCACCTCTTATCTGAGCTCCTTTCACACTCTGCTCATATGGCCCAGCTGCAGCTAGTCATCAGACTTTTAAGGCTTCCTCATCCACTCCCCTGATTTTGCTCTTCCCCTATCACATCTTATGTGCCTGAAGAAGCATGCTAACCTGTTCCAGGCTTATGAACCAGACTGGTGGCTGCTCCATCACTGTACAGTGGCATCTCACCACTTGCTCTGGACTGCTCCATGGGCCTCTTAACTCTTGTGCTCTAGGTTTCTCAAATCTTGATCACCTGGCCTTACTCCTTGGGCTCCCAGCTTTGGCTTGTACTTCTCATCAACCTGCCTTCAGCCCAGCTTTCTTCTACACTAGATCCCAACTTGTGGAAGGAACTACTTATTCCTGATCATGCTTTTGTCCTTCCTCTGTGGCTGGATAAGCAATCCTGGACTGCTCTGGCTCAACCTCGTCTTGGGAGCACAGACTTGATCATGCAATATCTTTACAGTTACTGGTTCCTGCTGAAGAGGTTTTGCAAAGTAATCTAAATTTCTTCAGCACTTTCGGTTTGAAAAACATAGCCCTTTCTCTTCTTAAGAAATCTGCCAATGCAGTGAGGACACATAGATACCACATTTATTTCACTATATTCCTGCTTATTCCCAACAGTTTGTTCCAGGAAGAGCAATACTAAAACCTGGTTAAAAAAAGCTTTATTTTCCTTCAGGAACATATTAGTCAAGTCTATGGCCCTGAAAAATCAGGTCCTGCAACCTTCATTCTCTTGAATGAAGCAGATCTGAAGGACAAGGTTTTGTGCCTTTATGAAAATGATGCTGCTCAAAGGGTATTATGATAATCCTTTCCTCCAAGTTACTCAGTTGACCTACATCTACCACTATCTTTAATCTCCTCCTCTCTAGTACAAAATGAATTCTCCCAACATCGTTGTGTTGAATGGCCCTGTGCTCTTCCTTTTTGGTTGTTTTCCCTTGTTCTTACACTTCTCATTTTTTCTTCTATAGTGTTGTTTCATTCTCTGAAGAACTTCTGCTTTTGTGTAAAGAGAGATTTAGAGTTCAGAGCTATTTTTGTTTATCTATCTTGTAAGCTCAGAAATACTGCTAGAAAGATATACCACCACTGTACTAGGCCCTGGTCAAGTTCTTGAAAAAGGACAGTGAAAACTGTTATTTTGGGGACAACTAAGATACTCTCAATAAATTTTCCCCTTCCAGATGAGTCATTATATGCCTGCTCATTTTTTTTTTTAGCAGAGCAGGAAACTGGCTGTTTTATCAGTGATGCCACACCCAGATTCATCTTTTGTGATACCATGAGATTGAGAGAAGATGCTGCCAATCAGCCCTCTCTTCACAGAGGCACTACTGAGGCAACACGAAGAACTTTTTCTAGACACAGCAAACAGAAACCTTTAAATGTAACTCAAAGAGTTCAAGAAAAGCAGAGGTACTTTACCTGGTCTTTCATGGTTTTCCCTAAATCTTTAACATCTTTCATGTTAATAGCATTTTTTCCTCCCTTCTCCTTTCCCTTCTTCTTGTTCTTCTTTTTGAACAAGCATTTCTTACAGAGACAAAAGCAGCAGGTAAGGATTAATAGGACTGCAACTATGGCTATGGCTATTAAGGCCCAAGGTGGCACTGGAAGAGAAAGAGAAACACACACAAAAAGAAGGTGGTAAACTGTTAGTAGGGTTAGATTTAGAAACAAGCACATTTCTCTCACAGTTAGGCCTTTTTCAATGAGAGTGCCTTGCAGAAATACCTTTCTAAAATATTCTGTCACCATTCTCCCACCTGAGCATTTGCACACACAATGCCCATTTAACACATCTATCTATTTAACATGCCTGGTGACACATATCAAATTCACTTGCAGCTATTTTGATTAATCAACTATCTGAAAACAATTTTGGACACTGCAAATCTGTAAAATGCTCAGCACATTTAGGCAATTACTTGCTTCTTTCTTTAACCAACCTGCCACCCTACCTGCCATTGTGGCTGAACTGGGTGGAACTGACTTGAAATTTCCCTTTTCTAGAATGGCATCTGATCTAAGCAGTCAGTTTTAATGACCAACACTTCTCCTCTGCCCACTGATGTACCTGAGAGACTTGCAGACTCCTCACAATAGATGCAGGTCAAAGTCACCAGCAAAGACTGACCAAGGACAAAGGACTGTCCAATCCAAGGGCAATTCGTCATCATGCCCTAACACTAGCAAAGTTTCAGTACAATAGCTATAGCCTCAGCTATACTTTCCTGTAAAGAAAAGCATGCATTCCATTTATTTATCCAGTCCAGGATGCTGGGCATGGCTGAAGCATGAATAAGTAACAGGGAACACTTGCTATGATAAAATGGTCTTGTTAAAGATCAGAAGTTTTGGAAGCAAAAGGAATTAGAACAGTTACACACAAGTACTCCATAAGGGAATTATCTTCATACAAACCAGCTTTAATGACCACTGATCCCCACATTAGCCGGAACACCTGACAAACCTTCAGACCTTGTAAACATTTTCTAAAAATCTCCAGATGCACTCGTCTATCAGGTCTGCAAGATGCTCTCATTGCATTACCTGAAAGTCTCTAATGTGATACAGAGAGAAACCAAAGAGTGAATCAAATTTGACATGTTGACATCAGTGAATCACAGAAGGGAATAAACAGAGAAAATTAATTGCAAAAAGGAGATAAGCTGAGTGTGAAGCACGGTCACAGGAACTTCCACTACAAAATATCAGTTCAGGAAAAGTACTCCTTACTCTAGAATTAATGACCATTTTTTCTATCTTTTATTCAAATGTCCTTGGTGACAGATACAAAAATAATGCAGGAGAATATTTAAACAATATTTTTTGTAATACTTTTATTCTTCCAAATGTTCATTAAGTGCAGCTGCTGTAAAAGGGAAGCTGTACCATATGTAGAACAAATGAGAACTGATTACTAAACAAATGAATGTTAAAAGATAAACAGAGAACAGGTTAACAGCTGTTTATGGGATGCATTTTATGGAGTCGTCAGCAGCAACTCTGAAGTTAAAGTTGCATTAGATCTTCACTTATCACAACTTAAAAATCTCTATTTCACGCATTAATGATTTCATTTTGTCTTCAAAGCTGACGTGATAACACTTTGTAGCACAACTGACTCTCCTACAAGTAACACTATACTTCATATCTGAACAGGAGTTATGTTGATAAGAAATGAATGCTGTTGCCCAAATTTATCAGCTATTCGGTTTGCTGCCTTGTCAGCAGCACTTGAAACATGATGCCAGCAAATAGAGTGAGCAACAAGAATATGAAAAGGGGTTCTGCCAGCAGGATGGCACCGTGGGAGGAAAGAGAGGAGGGGCACACCAAATGCAGGTAAATTCAGAGAAACAAGGAATTGAGGAGACAGGGAATGTGGGCGTTTAATAGGATATATACATATGCATCCTATGGATGAAAAGCTTGTGTAGGCAGTGAAGTCAGGCGCCTTTTTGCTGAAACTGTGGTGAGAAGCGGTATTCTGGCACTGCTGCCTTGGTTCTCTGGAGCATGAACAATGTAGGGTGCCTTGGGGAGCATTTGAAACACTTGCAGATACCTCAGCTTCTTCTTTATAATGCATTGTCTACTCTCATCTGTTTGTAATTTAATTTCAACCAATAGCTCTTGTGATGCAATTAAGTGATTATCAAATTAATATCTGAGACACCAAGAATTATGCAGAATTCCTTATTTATCTCTTCAGAACAAATACACTTCCCTTTTTATTAAACAAAGCATAAGCAATTTAGGAAAAAAATGGGGTAACCCAAAATCTGGACATTTCCAAGTCAAATTAAACACATAAGTCTGAAAAAGAAAAAAAGGATGGATTTTTTTTTTCCCAATAAAAGCACACTGTTTCTAGCAAGAAGATGGCTCAACAAACACTGCCTTTGACAGATTGCCCAATCAGTGGATGCAATTGCTAGACTGAAGACAAGTGAAACATACAGTTATCACTGGCTTTGAAGCAGTTTTTGTTTGCTTTCAAAAACATTACTTACGTAATTTGAAATGTTATTGATTTTACATAATAAGACGGGATTTTCCAAAACTACTAAAGACTTGGAGAGTTTTCATATCTGTGCTTCCCATTTCATGCTGCTGCCAGAGGAGCTTGAATTCTAGAAACAGGTAAGTTTTTAAAACTTGTTTTCTGTAAAGTCATCTCAAGATGGACAGGCCAGAATGAAATGACTGAAGTCACTAGTCACTTCAGAAGAATCACATCTACAGCCTTTAATCAACTGTGAGTGTCTATAAAACTTTACCACCAGTATATGCACTTTCTTGGTTCTGCACAGTGGCTCACTTTGGAGATGTGTATGATCATAGACTCATAGAATGGCTAGGGCTGGAAAGGACCTTAAGATCATGCAGTTCCAAACCCCCTGCCATGGGCAGGGACACCCCACACCAAACCATCCCACCCAAGGTTCCGTCCAACCTGGTCTTGAACACTGCCAGGGATGGGTATTAGTTAATTCCAGTTGGACTCTACCCACACTTCTGGAAGATTTTCAGAGAATTTCATTTTTCCAGTGTTTAAGCGCATAACAAAGGGAATCTACAGTTTGAAGACTATCTCCATCTATATTAAAACAGTTTGATTAGGTTCAGTAGCTCAGTTTGAAACCTCAGGAGGTCTTTGAACCACGAACCACTGAACGAAAGACCTCTGTGGCAAATGAAGCAGCGTAGGTGATCCTCACAGCAGATCCTGACCAACTGACCAAGGTGACAGAGAGCCAGAAGTTTCTTGCACAACTTGTCTTACCCAGTGCTTGCACAAGGGGGTGCTTTGAAACAAGCAATACTCACCTATGTGATCAAGGAAAAGCTATTGGTTTAAGGATAATTAATATGTGTGTAAATTTTCTGGTATTTCAGTGCTAATTTCTTTGTTCTGCTGCTGTGGGCAAATACAGAATACTTATTTTGAAGAAGCTGTCATGAATTGCTATGTGATTCAGTGATTCTACAAGGCTCTTAAAGAAAAATCTATATGAGGGGATCTGCTGAGTAAGAATAGTTAATAAATAAGGTCTTGAATTAGTCTTATTGATCTAATCCAAACAGGGTATGCTCTAGCACTTACTGAGAAATGCAGGAATGAAGCCTGTCTGTAAAAGGAGGATATACAGAAAATTAAACATATGGCTTACTTCTAACCAATAGGAGGGTCCTGAAAAAAGCAAGCTCTAGGATTGTGTTGATAATCAAACCATTTTGGGTACCCATTTTGCATCCTTCACTCATGCTGAACATCAGACAGATATGGCTGCACTGCAGCTAAGGAGTTGTGAGCCTTCTCATCCCTCTCTGTTGCTTCCTTCTACTAATGCCAGCCAGGGCCATGGGCATACTGCAGGTCATTTGATGCATTTGTAGCATCACAAATACAGCAGCTGCAGTGCACTTACATTATAAGTTCACGCTTAGGCGTGCATTTATGAGGTATATCTACAGACCATATCCGTATACCATGCTTGGACTCATGTTACGCAGTGACCTGGGAGGGCACAATGGACTGAATGGGAATATACGCTCCCAGAGCTCACCTAACAGTACTGCAACTACAAAAGGTGATTGGCCCACGGGAGCAAACCTAAACCAGAGCATTACCCCCACAAAGTTTGCAGTGTGGAGCTGGGTCTTCAGGACCAACTGCTTCACTCCACTGACTTGCTTCTACTGCACTGCACTAAATATAGCTTGTGTCTCAATCTGTCTGTAAGTATTGTTCCACTGAATATGCTAGATTCAAAGGAAAGGATGTATTACTGAGTTTTTCAATGTAAGAGCTACAACTGATGACTTTATATAAAGATATCCTTACTTGGCCTTACACAAAATGCTTGGAGTAGCATAGGTCTTGGGTCTAAAACTGACATTTCCGTTAGATGATCTAAAATTATCAAGTGCCTTAGAGGACATTTGACTCCAGAGGAAAGACAGTAAGAGGGAAGTGTAACAGCATCAAAGTGCTACAGTCTGTAAAACAGAATAAAATCCTTTACACTAATAATTTTTTTCCCTTTCTGTGCAATGTAGGAAGAAACTTTATTAACTTAGAACCCAAAGAGAAGGAAAGTCAGGGAAGAACTGAAAAGACGGGCTGAATTAAAAAGTGAAAGCTTCCATACCAAAAATGCTGTCCACTGGCAACTCCCAATGAAACAATTAAGCAGCCCCATTTAAACTGTGATAGCAAAAGACTATCAGTCAATGGCAGCTTCCATACTATTCTGCAAAGAAGCCCCATGGCATGTCAGAATTGATAAATATTAATAATCTATGTTTCGGAGGGGGCATGATGTGTAACAGGAAGAGGCAATTGACAAATAATTGTGTGTGAAGGGCACTGCATTAATCTGAAGTTCTGGAAGCCTGAATATGAGAACACTAGCATTTTTATTTACTAACCATATTTTTATCATAGCTTTTGCACTTACAGCTTCTTATCGAGAAGCAAACCCCATATATAGCCATGTTCAGACTTTTTGTATTAGAAACTCCCCAGGGGCCACATTCTGGGAATCAATTTGACTTTCATTAGAAGTTACTTAAAGAAAAAGAAAATGTACTGAGACCA